AAATAAACAACACACACACACACACACACACACACACACACACACACACACACACACAAAGTGTAAATGCATTATTCTTAAATAAATTAATAATTTTTTCCACAAATCAATTCTTACAAACATTTCATTAAAATTAAAATAAATTACAAAAATTAATAATTTACAAATTATTTAAATTTAACTTTGTTTTCTTAATATTTCAACATAAAATATCAAGTATCTCATAAAATATTTATTTTTCTGTTATCTTTCTTTAATATCAAATTAAAATAAATTGATTGATGTAAAGAAAACAAGTTACTTTTAAAAAATATATGTAAATTGTAATTTGCAATTCTGTTTGCAATTTGTTTCACATACACTTTTTTCTTTACAGCAATTTTATCTACAACTAATAAAAACTGTAATTCATCCCGATTGATTCATCCTGTATAAAAATCCAACAAAAGAATTATATTATTTGAGATAAAATATATTTAAAAATTTAAATATAATATATGCATTTAAATATATAAATTTGATTATCGATTTATCATTAAAGGGAGAAATTTAGCTATGACTTTGAGCTGCTACGTTGGAAATCCGTTAAAAAATAACGGCACGTGGTTTGCAATATAAGCAATTATTTTGAATTTATATGTATATGTAAATTTAAAAAGAAAATTATAGACGTCTAAGATTTTGCCTGTCGAATATTTTACCGTTTATTATATTCTGTTCTTTGAACTTACTTTTGGCTTATTACATTGATTCATTTAACATATAAACATAGAACAAAAACATATAAAATATGTAATATATAATCAAATTAATAAAAGTCAAAACTATATACATCGTATATACATCGTATAATGATGTGATTTCTTTAAAATTTGTATAAACAAATTTCGTACGATCATTTAGATTATGTGAGTTGTGTCCTATATTTTTAAGGAACACGGCAAATCCTTAACGCACGTTTAACGGTAATAATCTTATAAAGAGATAAATTATAATACGCAATTAAATCGATCACTACCGTAACATTTCCTCTCTCATTCCTCCTCGGTCTTGCATTATGTATTCGGACGACTTCTACTTTCGCGCGATTGTAATATATTTCAACTCTAAATCTACAATAATCCTCTAAATTATGCTCTATCGAATTACCTTATATCGCAAATACAGACTTTTAAATATTTAGAGAAAATAAAAGCTTCCTCTTCAACGACACATAATAATGATCACGTTCGAGGACTTGCCTCTAGATTGCATTTCAACCGCAGCATGTGGATAAAAAAATATCGAGATAATCGAGAAAGAGTGACAGAGCGATATTTTTAAGTTGCAATAAAATTAAGATAATCGCATCGATAAGGATCATTTATGTAAATACCGAGATATGTTCTGCAGACGTGGGGGGGGGGGGGGGGAGGGGGGATTGTCGTAAAATCGATATTGCACTTCTGTAATTTCAACGTTGCTGCGTCGGACAAGCGCTTCGAACATGATCCCGAAGTTCTGTCGTACCAGAAGGATGATAGAACATTTAATTGTGGACAGGATTTAATATAATTTCTAACGTCTCGATTCCCATCGCTGTTCGAAAGTCTGTTCGCGCTTAGCGCGACGCCCAGATGATCCGTGTGTCGAATATCGAAGTTTTGATTTCCTTATAGAACAAGGCGGTGGCAAATACAGCGGCGGTAGCGGGAAAGAGTATTTGCGAAAAATTGGGAAAATTTTTTTCACGACACGAAGGAGAATATTCTCTGGGTATATACAGATGAAGGATATATTCAATTTTCCACACCGTGGAAACTTTCAAACGGGAAAGCATTCGCAAAGCCAACATTTGATAACGTTTACAACATTCAACGTAATCATATAAAATCTGAAATGTCAATAACGTAATCTTTCCCTCTCAACGCAATTATACACAGATAAAACACGCTCGTCGATTCGTCGCAGGTCGACTCGACTCGTCGAGACGTCTTAAACTATTTTGGCACTAGAATCCACCGTTAATCGTTAAGTTTCAAGACTCGACGTCGTGAAACGCCTATGAAGCTAATAAAAAATCTTGTCAACATCATGTGCGCGCTTATATGTATACGTGTACATGCGTGTACGTGCTTTTACATTACGCCTATAAACCTCGTTATATGTATATACATTCGATGTGTATACGTATACACTGACTGACGTTACTTAAATAATGAATGTTTAGAAATGTATAATATCTTACAGGTTAAGGGGAACTTACGACTACTACAATGCGTAATATCATTATGGTAACGATTATGCTCGAGCAACTTATCTTGGATCGAAGAATGTTAATGAACTTGTAGCAGCTGCGAATCAAGAGCCCGAAAGGCGAGTACGCGAATTTTAATCACTTAGGAAATAAATTTTATTTAATTTATTAGCGCTTTTATATTTCAGCGGCATTGAATTTTAAGAAACTTCGAAACTTATCTATTATTCAAAAGTGTGTTCCTCTTTAGAATCGTCCAACTCTAATTATTTAGAAATATATTAACGAATAATTCAAAATGTTTATAAATATTAATTTTAATCAATCAAAAAATGAGAAATGTTAAACGCACCTCGTGAGAAGAAAGTATGAAATATGACTAGTGAGTTTGCTTAATAAAAAAATTGAATTTAATGGAAATTGAATATCATGGTATGTATATTTTCTAACATCGTTAACGTTGATTTCGCAAAGTATATGATTACGTAACTATCACACAAGTCGAGTGATGAACTGTTACATCTACTGAAGAGATTGATGAAAAAAAGACTCTTACATGCAATGTGTTTTTTTGATTAGCTCGCGATCGGCATACATTACGCTTAACATTAATCATTATCGCTCGTTAGTAGTTTCGGTCGCGGAAAGTTCTCCATGGCACGAGTAACAATGTAGTCCGTAAATTTCTGTATTTTAAATTATCGTAATACGCGTAACAGAGATGAAAAATTTCCCAAGTCCAAGTAGGAAAACATAATCGGTCTATTTGTTACACTTTGTGTTCGGTGTCGTAAAAAAAAAAAAAAAAATAAAAAAAAAAAAAAAAAAAAAAGGAAAAAAACATTTAAATCGTGTGGCTCTTTAAACATACTGAAGGAAACGGAGCATCTCTACAGTGTAGCGACCTTTGTGTCTTTCCTTCGTCCGATCAAGTCGCTTATATAATTAAACACTGGCTTCTCACGTGAAAATCCTCCTCGTCGCGTGGAAATTTGTGTAGATATTCGTTCAAGGTACTCGTCTACTCGACTCAAATCTCCGAAATCGTTGCCGTCTGCTGAAATAGGTAATCGTGATCGACAATGCCGATACTCGTTATTACATATACATATATAATATTCGGTACATCAAGTAACATAAATTCCTACACCATTAGCGCACCATTAACCGCATATTCGCTGCGTTTCTTGAGTAATCCCTGACTGATATCTTTCGTTGCAATTTATTATATCCCGAGGACGTTGCGCCCCGACGACACAGCCGGGCGTCTGATGACGACGAGGGGAGCGCAGGGGGGAATGGAGACGGGAGGGGGGGGACGTTCTCTCTCTCTCTCTCTCTCTCTCTCTCTCTCTCTTCTTCTTCTTCTTCTTCTTCTTCT